GCAGGATTACTGTGCTTTATTAACTTCCTGTACAATAACCTTAGTCATTCGGCTATGGCGCATCCTCTTTTTTTTCCGGAGCACGATAATCAGGAGCGTTTCTTTTTCCTAGAATTTTTATTCTTCATATAACGTTTTTAAAAGCCAATCTTACTTCACAGTGATCTGAATTATCGTTCCTTGCCATTTTAGAGGTATTTTGAAAGGATAAACTTATGAATGGCGCATAAAGATAGCGATTTTGAAATGTAATTCTGTGGCAGCTTCTGGTTTTTCTTTTAGTAATATTATGAAAATTTGATCACCTGATGGTCCAAAATTGTGCTACTACTCATAGTCTATGTAAGCCAGAGGACTAGTTCTATTTTCTTCTGCATTTGAACCTCAGTGAACCACTGATTGCCTCCATGAGGCCCTTTCTTCCCTTTCTATTTCAATATGACGAATTTTTTAGGTAGCATATCGACGAGAAACATCATTGAGTGGCCCACCAGTGCTGGATAAAGTCAAGACCCAGTATGATCATGTGTTGTGGATCTCGGAAAAAGAGTATGTGGAAAAATCATTGGCCGAATGGATGCATGTTCCAATGGACGGTGGTGCTTTGGACTGCAAAATTCGATTGATTTTGCAAGCAATTGTGCAGCTTGAAGATATTCTCAACTCACCAATCACAACATGGGACGACTATTTTAACATGAAAAGTTGGATTTTGCTGATTTTTCAAATATTTGAAAAAAAAAGCTTGCATATTTTTACAATAGCTTGTTTAGCGTTGACAGGAAGTGTTTGGGAAATTGAACGCCTTGTAATTAAGGGGGCATTTTTTTTGTCAGAATGGCGCTTCATCGCTCAAATGCCTCGTTTTTGGGGATTTTTTTTTTGGGGGGTTTTTCATATTTTTGGGTTTTGTGAAAAATTAGCTTGTCTCGGTTCGTTGCTTCTGAACGTCATTTTATTTCCTAGTTTATTTTGATTTCTAATCCACAGACTAAATTTTGTGCAGTTTTTGCATGGTAATGTAGCAAATTTTTGCAAAATTAGTTTTGCATTTAAGCAGTTTTTGGCGTTTTGATTTAGAAAAGACGTAGTTTCTGTTTTGTGCACGTTTTTTTTTTTGAAATTCTATTAAACTGTTGAAATACAGAGAATCAAAAATTTCTCCTGTATTCGCCCTCTGTTATGTTAAACTCTGTCTGGCATAACTGTGTCTAGCTGTGAATGTGCCGTAAAATAAGTGGCAACTTTTTGAACACTAAATATTTTGCATTCAACAGTAGCAACAGCTAAATACATATGTAGGGGTAGGATTTTTGAGAGGACATCGGGAAGCGGTATACTAAAACTTTGCCAAATCGTGCCTGTTGAGAGGTCCGTCTAAAAAGTAAATCCCTTGAGTTGACTGGAAGAATTTGAATATTTTATAAAGTTATGAAAAAGGTTGTAATTAAAAGAAAACTAATAATTGAAAGGATTTAAAAACTGAATTGGAACGTTTCGGCCCATTAAATCGTATACATTCCCATTCAGTACTGCAACTGGGACTTGTCAGTGTGACGGTTGCAGCAAAAGTATTGGAAGCAGAAGTTTTGTGACGGTTGTAGAAAATACTATAGCGCAGTTAAAGAGAGGGGGAAAAAACTGAAAATTAATGTTGGGACTGTCACTAGGCTGAGCACCAGAAAATTTTAGCAAAAGCAATTGGAAAAGTTCTAACTGCAGAAGCAGCTAATAAACTACAGCTGTTCGGAGTGTCAAAGTTTTGAAGTTTTTGCGTTTTGGTAGGAAAAAGTTGAAAACTTCGAAAACTTTTGAGCTTGGACAGGTGTCCGCTGTTTCAGAGTACCTGCAAACGCTGATTGATGTTATTGTCGCGGAAGCCAATGCACTCAGAGGACAAGGTTAGCCGTAATATTAACAAATTTCCCCGTATCACTGATATGAATGTTTGTTCATGCCGTGAAATATGAGGGGGAAAGACGAGAGGGGGGGGGGGGGGGGGGGAGGGGGGGGG